TTTCTTTACCGAGAGCAAAAGAAAGTAATGATCTTATATCTAGTACAAAACCACCAATAGTACCAAGAAAACAAAAAAAAAACTAACTAAAAAAAACAGATAGAACGAAGGGAAATTTTTAAAGGAAAAATAAAAGGGAGTATAATGAAATGTAAAAAAAGAAAATCGAAGAGAAAAGCCTAAGGGCTGACAAAGGGGGGAAACTACCTCTATCAAGAAGCAGTACAAATAGAACGAAAGAAAAAAGAAAAATACACTATTATAACCTGTGCCAGGCAGGTATAAAAATTATATAACAAATACAACATTTGTATATCTCTAATAAAACGCTTCATGACTATATGACCGACTCTGAAATATTTGGTTCTGACCTAGAACTCGGGACCTATCCAAATTAGTAGCACTGTATCCATCGAACACGTGGTTGTAATCTACTCAGCTTTCCGGATTTGAGATATAAACAATGTTGATTTTTTGGAGGGGGTGCGTCAAATCCCCACTTTTTGAGAAAAAAATTTTTGAAAAACCAACAGAAGGAAAAAATATAAGGAGAGAGTTGCAAGTACTTTCAAAATTTTTAAACAAGTGTGTTGAAAAAGCAAAGCTTCTTGTTTTTTCCCCTGTGTTCTTCATTGAAATAACAACCAAACAGCTTCATCGACGGAGTTGGGCCTCCTCACCCATACTCCATCAAGATTTTTTATACAAGGGCACTGCCTGCCAGTTATCTTATATAATAACGCTCCTAGCTTGCATGCTGAATGTCCTTCTTTAGAGGAGTCCCCGAGAGTAGTAGTTGACCTCTAGACAAACCACTGTATAGGCCACGACTCCCCAACAAGTAGTTCTGGTTTTTCTTTAGTAGAAAATTTTAGTTCATGTGATCGTCAGAAAGAGTTGTGTTTGATATTGTATTATAAATGTAATTTATAAATTATTTTTTAAAATACAAGAAATTTATTAGACAATTAGCAATAATGCATAAAATTAAAGCAAATATATACAAACTTTTTTGCAATACTTTATATAATTTTTTTAATAAATTAAAAAAAATATGCTTGTCATTGGCAGTAACAGTTACTAGTATTGGATTTAAAGTTAGTTTGCTCTCTTAATTCCAATCTAGTTTTTTTTTTTTTTTTTTAATAATCTAGATCTGCTTTTTTTAGTTTTCGCATTTTATTTTTTTGCTTTGCTAGAAAACTAGTAGTAAAGATTAGTTTGCTATTTTGTAAGTGGTTTTTTTTTTTTTTTAAACCAATTTCTTACTTTATAGCTTTGTTTTCTAGAATACTAGGTAGTGATTAGAACTGGGATCCTTAAATATGTGGTTTTTTTTATTGTTTGCCTCCTTTTGTTTTCTTTCTTTGAACTAAATTTTTTTTTTTGTAGATTTGTTTTACTGAAAAACCAGGTAGTGAAGTTAGTGGAGCTACTATAGTGGTATTGTTGTTTGAATATGGAGATTTTGAACTTTTGTTGTTATTTGTAGAGATTTTAGGCTTTGTCATTTCAGTGTCATTTAAATATAAAGATTTTAAACTTTTGTTATCATTTGTGGAAATTTCAGACTTCATTATTTTGGTGTCATTATTGGTTTTCATTATTTTAGTGTTGCATTTGTAAAAATTTCAGGCTTTGTTGTTGATGATTTTCCAGTATGTTTTTGGATTCACTTCGTTGGAACTAGAGCTTTTTAAGTTATATATAGTAATTTTTTTAATTAGTTTTTTTTCTTGGCTTGAATTAATTTTCTTTTCTTTTGTAAGTTTGGCTTTTGAGACTTGTTCTGATGCGATTCTGTCATTTTGGCATTATTGCTTTAGAAGCGTTCATTTGAGATGGTTGGTTTTAGTTTTTTTATTAGTTGGTTTTTTTTAGTTCTTAATTCTTTTCTTTTCTTTGCTAGAATAAGGTATATATAAATTATTTAGTATCATTGGTGATTTTATACTTTTGCTATTTTGGTATTGCTATTTGTGGAGATTCTAGTATTGTTTCAGCTTTATTGGTAATTTCAGGCTTTCACTATTTTGGTGCTATTGTTGGAATCAGCACTAGAAAAGACATTTTGGTTTTGGATTAGATAAGATTTTTTTTTTTTTTGTTTGTTAATCACTTTGCTGGCATCTTTTTTTTTCTTCTTTAAGTTCATATAAGTTTCACTAAAATGTTGAGTCAACACTAAGAGCAGTGCTTCAGCATTAAGATAAGTTTTTTTTTATTTTTTATTTTTTATATTTGTGTAAGTTTTGAATTCATTGAGAAAGTAGCATTGACTCAAAACATTTATTTAGTATGTGAAATACTTTGTAATATTTACATTTTGGATGTAAAATTTTTTTTTGTTAAAGCACGAAATTGCACATAGGATTATTATATATATTATTATATTATTATGTCAATATATATATATATATATTTTAATATTCGGCAATCTTGCCAATACTTTATTAGGTATAAATTTCACAAATCTATTTCATATCTATTTCATGTGTGAGCTAACTTTAATACTGGGCTAACATGTTATTCCTAATTTACAAGTATTGACTCACCCGGCTCTTTGCGATGAGAGTCTTATGTGACAAAAGTTCAAATTACCCATGTGCGATCTGCTATAGTAAAAATTTCCTCTCAATATTAAATCCTCCTGCAAATGAAGAAATCCAATATATCACTGAGCGGCATTTATGGCTATCAAGATTGCCTTTTTCTTTTAAACCTTAAATCTTCTCCTCCTAACTTCCCAAGTAGAAAGAAAAACTTCTAACTACTTAACGAAAAAACTTCAAGATCAAAGAAAAAAAGAGAAGTTTAAAACCAAAAAAGGGAAATACCAAAGCAAATACTACAAAAAAAACCACATAAAAACCCTATAAAGAAAGAAAAAAAAAAAAGACAGAATAAAAAAAGAAGAAACAAAAATGGCAAGAGCACTATTATAACCCATGCCAGATTAAAAAAATATTATATATGTGACTTCGGGATAACATATATCTCACATGATACTAACAAAAGTATACTAAAAAAGGACCGAAAACCCTTTCACGTATTAAATCCAATAATAGAAATCGCTACATGCTTCATACATGTTTGTTGTTTTCCTAATTCGCCACATCGCAATGTCAACTTCTAAAAATAGAAGTAGTAAACAATGTCGATTGTTTGGAGGGGGGTAGCCAAATCCTCTGTTTTTTCGAAAAAGTTTGTAAAAAAAACAACGACGAGTAGGAGATAGGTGCAGGAAAGCCAAATTTTGAGAGAGTGTGTTAAAAAAAAGGTAAAGAATCTGTTGTACCTCTGAACTCCAAGGATGAACTTTGTAGATATTTTCTCTTGGTCTACTAAAATTTACACACATAGAGAGTGCCACTTGCCTTTTTCTCCTTCATATGTTTGCTTCTGGCTTGCATGCTGAATATAGAAAGGAGTCCCCATAGTGACCTTTTCTAAAAACCACTACTAAAGTTCTCTCAGAGCTGTAGTCTATATAGCTTCATCAACGGAGCTTTTGTTGTCCACCAAAATTTTTACTAGCCAAGAGTGCACCTGTATTTTTCTCTTAACAAGGCTTCTGGCTTGTATGCCAAATGAGGCAAGGAGTTCTCTAAAGCAAAGTTAACCTATATTTGAACCTCAAACCGCTACTATAGTCTACTCAACTCTCCAACAGATTTTTTTTTTTAGTTTTTTGTTAGCATAAAATTTGGTTTGGGTGATCGACGGAAAGAGTTGCGAGTAGAGATTTGATCTGCTTACCTGCCAACTCATGACCTGTAATTTTATTGTCTAACCTGGAGTAAGTTATGCTTAACCGGGTAACCTGGTAAATAGTCATTCTTTTTTTTTTTTTTTTTTTTGTCAAAGTGAAAATCTGTAATTTACAGATCAAACCCCAAAAATGTAATTTTAATACACTATATAACGATAATATATGTTGTGCTTGATTTAAATTCATTAGGAGCCAGATTAGAAAGCGGAGCCGGCAAAAATCAATTCAGGTGACTATAAAAAATTCACTGATTAAAAATTTATCAAATCATTTGAATGATTTATATGATATATTGCACGATTACCAGTAAATTGAACCATACGATTGTATTTGATTAGTCAATCGCTTATAAAACCGCCTATAAAACTGCATAATTTCTAATTGGAATTCTTTAATCACAAAAAATACATAGAACAAAGCATATAAAATTACGTAAAATTATTATCCCTTAAACTGTAGAGCAATTCCAGGCAAATTTGCCTGGAAAATTACTATAAATTTGCTTATGATCTAC